CGTATAAAACCCTAGTTCCCTGAATAGGGAATGAGATGCTGCGATGAGGGCCGTCCGTACCTTGATAGCGCTTCCTTCGTCATATGTGGAAATCTGATGAAATAACGCACAGCACGCTGATATAGCATATAATTTTCAGGGAACTAGGGTTACATACGTAACCGAGATGTTACTCTATGTTGATGTCATTTTAACTGAAACAGGAAGACAGGGCGGGACATATCAAGCAACCCTGCCTCTTTTTAAAATAACCAATAGCGTTCGTTTATATCACAGCTTGGGCTAGAGCCGTTCAGAGCCGTTGAGCTCCGTAAAGCCGCATTTGACAGGGTATGCCAGCCACAATCTCATCCATATTGCTATAAAATATAGCATGCTGTGTAGAATTCAAGTAGCTCCGATACATTTTGTGGTCTGCATGTGATCCGCTCCATGCTATCGTGTCGCTGGACCAGAGCAGAGTGTGTGTGAGGTGCGGTGGTTAGCGTGACACAGCGCGAAACCAGACTTCTTTTTTTCCTTAATGGAAAGCATATTTACACTGTTTGACACATCGTTCCCTGTCCCCTATATAGTGCACTACGTGCCATTCACTGTACAGAAAATACTAATTCTGTGGACAAGTGACCGATTTCAGCTGCGGCTTCAGCGTCTATTTTATAGTGTAGGGGGCAGGCGCTTCGGATTCTAGAGAGCATTTGATTGGACAGAAAGTTTGATGAGAAGCTGAAGTACGATGTGACGTCAAAAAAATCGTTGAGCCATTTTGGCGGAAGTGACGAACTGCAAGCTTTGAATGCTTATGTCTTCTAAATGCTAATTTTGTCACTGTTTTGGAGCACACTGCCTTATAGATAACCTTAAGACTAACATATTGATACTAACACCCAAAAAACCTTTAATTTTGACTTCATGGGGACTTTAATTAATCTAATTAATTTGAGATTAATTTGATTAATCGGCACATTATGTATTTAATTAGACTTTTTTTTGTAAATAATCAATTGTCAGCCCTATTTAAAGTCGGCATGAAACGGAAGTTGCCTTTTGTCTTTTGATTTCTTCTCTACTGTGACGTATATCCGAGTGAAACGGCATCTGAAATGAGAGGGCGGGATTTCGTCCTTCGGGAATTGATTGGTTTGTTGGAAGCTGGGGCGTTACTAAAAAAATAGAGGCAGATCTGAATGCCAATTTGCAGTTAGTGGTGGGGGATTTCTCTCCACTGGATTCACCTAGTGATGGGCAAATGAAGCCTCATGAAGCACTGAGGCTTTCCTTTTCGTCCTTCGGGAATTGATTGGTTTGTTGGAAGCTGGGGCGTTACTAAAAAAATAGAGGCAGATCTGAATGCCAATTTGCAGTTAGTGGTGGGGGATTTCTCTCCACTGGATTCACCTAGTGATGGGCAAATGAAGCCTCATGAAGCACTGAGGCTTTCCTCTGACTGTTTCGGGAAAATATTCAAAGCTTCGCGAGTGTCAAAAATAGCGCCATCTGGTGGTCAATAAAAAATATAGCAGCCAAAAGCCTGTGAAAATAGTGTGTGTGTGTTTGTTAAAATTCTCTCTCTGATAAAATAATTTACCCATTAAACTGTGGCATTAAATGCCAACAAGAATATCAATATGATGTAATAGAAGAATAATGTACACACATGAATTGCATATGCCAAATATCTTTTTTTCCTGAACTAGTTTTTATTCTTCATATTACTTGTATGGCTGGGTATTTAAAAATGTAATTGAATAAGTCTGAATGAAAACTTACTCGTAAAGTAAGATCTGGGGTTTCGAACATTCTGACACGCGCACGTGATTGGACAGATAGTGAGGCTTCATTTTCTGCTGATCACGTGATTCTCTGAAAACAATACATGCTCCGGCACAGAGCTTTGTGAGAAATTGCGCTGCTTACCCGATACGCGCTTTGAAGCTTCAGTGTCATCATCACTAGCCGACATCCAAGCATGAATACATTTTTTATTTATTAAGGATGACGACGACGATGATCAACTGCACAAAACATGTCTAAACAGCACGTGCGTAAGAGAGAGAGACTGCCTGAATGACTGAGCGCGTCCTCCATCAGGTTAAGTCATATTCATGAAAAAAATTAGTTTACGATGTCCTAAGAGTAATGTCATAATATCCTAATATCTTTTCAATGTTTAAGGGTAACATACTCCCTCATGACTGGTGTCAGTGCTATAAAGTGAAGCATCAGCTTCTTCTTCTTCTTGGTTTTATGGCGAGTTGCAATCTTTGCGCATATTGATGCTGTCTAATCAGCATCTTGATATGCCACACCTGTGAGGTGGATGGATTATCTCGGCAAAGGAGAAGTGCTCACTAAAATAGTGTGTGTGTTTGTTAAAATTATCTCTGATAAAATAATTTACCCATTAAATTGTGGCATTAAATGCCAATATGAATATCAATATGATGTAATAGAAGAATAATGTACACATATGAATTGCATATGCCAAATATATATTTTTTCTGAAATAGTTTTTATTCTTCATTTTACTTGTATGGCTGGGTATTAAAAAATGTAATTGAATAAGTCTGAATGAAAATTTACTCGTAAAGTAAGATCTGGGGTTTCGAACATTCCGACACGCGCACGTGATTGGACAGATAGTGAGGCTTCATTTTCTGCTGATCACGTGATTCTCTGAAAACAATACATGCTCCGGCACAGAGCTTTGTGAGAAATTGCGCTGCTTACCCGATACGCGCTTTGAAGCTTCAGTGTCATCATCACTAGCCGACATCCAAGCATGAATACATTTTTTATTTATTAAGGATGACGACGACGATGATCAACTGCACAAAACATGTCTAAACAGCACGTGCGTAAGAGAGAGAGACTGCCTGAATGACTGAGCGCGTCCTCCATCAGGTTAAGTCATATTCATGAAAAAAATTAGTTTACGATGTCCTAAGAGTAATGTCATAATATCCTAATATCTTTTCAATGTTTAAGGGTAACATACTCCCTCATGACTGGTGTCAGTGCTATAAAGTGAAGCATCAGCTTCTTCTTCTTCTTGGTTTTATGGCGAGTTGCAATCTTTGCGCATATTGATGCTATCTGGTCCTGTGCTATATAAAAAATTAAATAAAATCCTATCCTGTTCTATCACTATTAAATTCATATCCCAATAAATATCCCACATCCTTATTATTCTTACCTTTATCCTTTAGATACGCTATTAGTTCCTTTCTATCCTCACTATACTTTATACATTCATATATTGCATGCTCAATTGTTTCTTTCTCACCACAAAATTCACATAAGCCATTAACATGTACACCAATTAAAAATAATGAACCATTCAGCCCTGAATGACCCAGTCTTAATCTAGCTATTATCCCCTCTTCCTTCCTATTCCTTCCTCTTACAATCATTTTAGTATCTACCTGCTTTTTGATTTTATTTAAATGTCTTCCCTTATAATTTAAATTCCACACTCCTTGCCATTCTCTTGTAACATTCCTCTTAGTAATACTTTTAATTTCCCCTTTACCTAATGGAACATTAATATCAATTTCCTTTTTTTTTTAAAAGCATTTTTAGCCAGTTCATCACTTATTTAATTCCCAACTACCCTATATGGGCTGGAACCCAACAAAATCCTATTAAAATTCCTTTCCTTTGAATTCGCCATATTAACATTAAAATTGGATTAATTAAATCTTCTCTAGATGACTGGTGGCTGGATAATGAAGTTAAGACAGAAGCAGAGTCTGAGCAAATCACAGCTCTGTCTGGTGTCACTTCCTCTACCCACATAAGTCCCACTATAATAGCGACCATTTCAACAGAATATATTGATAATTCAGATGATAATCTTTTACTTATGAATATATCCAAGTCAGGGATATATATTCCTGCTCCTGTCAAAGCATAAGCTTCAGCTTTTCCCCTGTCGTTTATCCCAGCGTTTACCCCTCACGTCACTAGCTCCGCCCTTGCGCCATAGCTCGTGACTGGAAGAGTAGAGAAGTCGTTTTGAGGGGGAGGGGAGGTTAAAGTTTTTGATGAAAGATTATGAGGGCACATGATTTAAAAAAAAATAATGAAGTGCACGGATAAATTATTTATAATAAACGCTACAGTATTCCATCAAAAAATAAGAATTTAAAACATAAAAAGTCTGCCCCTGATGGCCACTGTGTAATTCAAACCCTTATTATACTGAGTTAGATGATGGTTAGAGGACTCCTCACACAGTAGAATACACGGGGGACATGTCCTCCCCCACTTTTAGTAAAACGTAAATTCGCCCCCTGCACTTTTTTCGGGCAAGTGTGTTCATGTAGAGGTTTTCAAGGACCACTGAATAAATCTATATTTAATTTCAAAGAGACATGGTAGTCACATCATTGTGGATACATTTTATTCATATCCAAAACAATATGAACATTGAACATTACTGGCTTTGCATGCAGTGTATGTTTCATTCATACCCGAAGCACGAGGGTGCTCTTGCGTAGAAAGTCCATAACTGACTCATAAGTACTAATAACTTATGATTTGCCAGGAAATCCCTAATATGGACAAAGGCATTAAGCAATCGCTGTAGCTAAGCTGAATAAAAAGTAGAAATGTTCTGACTGATGAAACGTAAAGACAATAAATACATGATTGTGACAATTTATGTGTTAAGTCATCTCTAGGTAATAAATAAAATATATTAATGATGCAATGCTAACTGGCATATCATTTATTACAGTACAGAAATTATAAAATATATTTGCTGCCTTATTCTGTGATAAAAATGGATAAAGTGATTGTAGTATATAAACCAATCATAAAATTGTCATTAGGAAAATATAGGCAAAAGTATTATAGATTACAAATGATTGGTTATTGTCCAGCAGTGTATTAGTTAGGTTAAGACACTAAACTGCAGCATTAGCAGAATTGTCATCACTCTCATTTATTATGTGCTCAGGTCCAGTTTTTTATATGTATACTTATTTATTTTGCAGGAGTGAACTGTCTTGCACATGACGAAGCCATTATGGCACAGCAGGACCGTATTCAGCAAGAGGTGAGTGTTCAGAGTAATGTTTTTGAAGAGGTCAACAGCATTTTTCCCGATTCACGTTCATTGTATTGAAAAGAACAGAAACATTCGGCTTAACATCTCTCTTTGTGTGTAACTGAAGAAAGCAAGTCAAAAAGGTTAGGAACAATATGAGGATGACTGAATGAACTAACCCTCTAATTGCTTGTGATTTGTTTTAATAGATAGCCACCACTAACGCTTTAGTGTCAGACAGACAAGATCTCTCTGTGCTTCAGGGTGAATATGCTGCAGAAGACAGCATTTACCAGCTCAAGATAAAGGTCGCTACATTTTCACAACCTTACTTTATACGTAGTAACCTTCTGTAAAACTGTTATTCTTACATCTTGTTCATAGGACCTTCAAAAAAAGTATTCCTATGTTCGAAAGACACGGCCGGATGGAAATTGTTTCTACAGAGCTTTTGGCTTTGCACATTTGGAGTCACTACTGGATGACAGCAAAGAGCTGCAAAGGTAGTGTACTGTTGGATTTGGGTGCATAATGCAGATACCATTGCTTTTGCTTGGAATAGTTAAACTAATTCAGGAGATAGCTGCAACCTTTTTTTATGCAAATTTCCATTTTATAATTTGTTTGTCTTTGTCATTGTAGTGAATGATTAAGCACCAGACCTGTCTCAATTTTGGCACTATAGGTTTAAAGCTGTTGCAGCTAAGAGCAAACTGGACCTTGTAAACCAGGGCTTCACGGAGTTCACTATCGAGGACTTTCACAACACTGTGAGTTGATAATTGTATCAGTTAAAAACTATGCCCAATTGACATGCCTTCTTAATTTTAGAACTCAACTCTTAAAGGGTAAGTTGTATTGTTCAATGTCAGTAGTATATAGCTTTGAGTCCGAGTCCGTAACCAATTAAGTTTGAGTGGAAGATTATTATTAATGTCTTGTCATCTTAATTTAATCATCTTAATTTAATGATCTTTCACATAACGCATTAATTTGACTGTAATTTTAAGTCCATGTCATGTATGAGTACAAGTACCCCAACTCACATAGTGATGTGACATGTGGCCAAGTATGGTGACCCATACTCGGAATTAGTGCTCTGCATTTATCCCATCCAAAGTGAGTACACACACAGCAGTGAACACACACACACCGTGAACACACCCCCGGAGCAGTGGGCAGTCATTTTTTTGCTGCGGCGCCCGGGGAGCAGTTGGGGGTTCGGTGCCTTGCTCAAGGGCCCCTCAGTCGTGGTATTGAAGGTGGGAGAGAGCGCTGTACATTCACTCCCCCACACACAATCCCTGCCGGTACGAGACTCGAACACACAACCTTTGGTTGGGTTACGAGACCGACTCTCTAACCATGAGGCCACGACTTCCCCATAGTAGATCCCCATAGTATAAGTAAATGAACAATTTGTTTTATGTTTCCGAGTTACCAGGAACACGACATCCCTGTGTATTTTTTTTGTGTAGCTGTAAAATGCATCATCTAGCAGACTTTTGACAGCTCCAGAGATTTTGTGAAAACTACAGATCATACTTGCTCACAAATAGTCTGATCGACTATGCCCCAGTGCTGCATTATGGCTGTTTTAAGTTTTTGTACATTTTTTCACTACAGCCATTTTTCTGTTTTCTGTAGATTTAAAAAAAAAAATAATAATAATTCTACTGCATACACAGCCAATTTTTATCTTTTACCTTGTAAGCAGTGAATTACCCCTTTAAGTCCTGTAATTGTACATTAAAATTATGCTCACTGTGGTTTCTCTCTTTTGTCAGTTCATGGACTTGATTAAGCTGTGTGAAAAGCAGCAATCACTTGGTGAACTGCTGAGCTCCTTCAATGACCAGAGCGTGTCTGACTACATAGTGGTTTACCTGAGGCTTCTCACCTCTGGATACCTGCAGCGGGAGCATGTGTTCTTTAAGCACTTCATAGAGGGCAGCCGTTCTGTCAAAGAGTTTTGCCAGCAGGTGAGTGCCACCTAAGAGTATTACTTGTGAACTGGTTTGTCAAAGACTAAGGGAAAAATTTAAAGGGGTCATATGATGCGATTTCATTTTTTCCTTTCTCTTTGGAGTGTTACAACTCTTGGTGCATAAAGAAGATCTGTAAATTTGCAAAGACTAAAGTCTCAAATCCAAAGAGATATTCTTTATAAAAGTTCAGAGTCAGCCACACCTACCTAAAACGGCTCGTTCTAACACGCCCTCACATATCTACCTCACTATGTGGGAAGATTTGCATAACGCAGCCCAAATGTTCACGCAAAGAAAGAAGGCGTAACTTTTATTTTCGCTGTAGTATTGTTGCTGCCGCCATGTCCTGAAGGCGCTGTGTGTTTCGTTGTGAAAGCGAAACTACTTTGTTTGGTCTGCCACATTCATACATTCTTAAGTATACATTCTTTTTAGCAGCATCATATGACCCCTTTTAGTCAAAAAAAAAAAACCTTCTAATCATCCATGTTTTGCTTTTTAGGAGGTGGAACCCATGTCGAAAGAGAGCGACCACATCCATATCATTGCCTTGGCAAAAGCACTGAATGTGCCCGTATTAGTGGAATACATGGACAGAGGAGAGGGTGGAACAGTGAACAATCATGTCTTCCCTGAAGGGAGTGAGCCACGCATCTTCCTGCTCTACCGCCCAGGCCACTATGACATCCTGTATAAGTGATACTCTGTATATTCTGTGGTTCCATTGTGAAGAAACCATCCCAGTTCTACAGCCAGGTTGAGTCATACATGTGTATGCGATGCTATGCTATGATTAATCTTAATAAAGTTTTCACTTCAGTTCTCCCCACATTACAAAATGAATGAGAATTTTTTTTCAGTGCAAAAAGAACTTAAAGCTCTTAATCTCTTAAAAACTGACTCTGCATCAAACTGCAGCATTACGGTTGTACAGTAGGTTTTTTGTGGTTGTAAATGTTATCAACTTTTAGTGTTTTTCTTTTGTTACACTGCCTTTCATGAGTTTTATTAAAGGGATTTACACCTCACTTGACTGAAGTCCATTTGTGGTTTCAGAAATCATTTTACAATTCAGAAGTGGATCCAAACCAGTAACAAGAAAATAATAAACCAGCATTACGTAAATTGGTTTTAATCTCAGACAGCACAATGATTTAAGTGCTCAATTTACATTCATTTACCAAACTAACTACACCTTGAGTAGATTGATGGCTACTTAAAGTAGGTTTGGGTAAAAAGTACAAACCCAATTCCAAAAAAGTTGGGACACTGTACAAATTGTGAGTAAAAAAGGAATGGAATAATTTACAAATCTCATAAACTTATATTTTATTCACAATAGAATATAGATAACATATCAATCATCATGTATAATTCAATCCACTACACTATAAAGAGGTGTCTGATACTCGTCTGTAGGCATCCTTCTCCGTCATGGCCGTTTTCTGTGGGAGTCACGGGAGTTGGACAGGATCCATCCAGCCGGACCAAGGACAGCAATCGAGATAAAGGCCATCACAAGTACACTCTCCTACAAGTGTGGGGGGCAAGGATATACCAGTATACAATATTGCCAAAGCAATCATTGTGGATGCATTCAATACATCTGACTCGTGAATGAGTTTAAAGTCTGCATGGTTAAAATTTACAATATTTGTTTTGTTTAGTGCACATTGCTAGTCTTAAAGGGTTAATTCACCCAAAATTGAAAATTAGCCCATAAATTACTCACCCTCAAGTCATCCTAGGTGTATATGACTTTCTTCTTTCAGACGAATCCAGTCAGAGTTAAATAAAAAATCGTCTTTGATCTTTCGAGCTGTTTAATGGCACTCAGCAGGTGTTGCAGTGCATCAGTCCAAAAGTTGCTGCTTCAGAAGCCTGTCCGAAATCAGTTTCATGAGGTGCCCAAGTTTTCGGATGCAGCCTAATGAATCAGTTGAGCAGCTTCACAAAACCCGATTCGTTCACGAGGTGGATTGAATCCAAGCACAGTTCCCTCATTTCGAGTCAGCGTCATATTAAACCGAAACTCGAACACTCCCGAATAGCAGGATGTTTACAAAATGCATTGCAAAAGACTTATAACAGTTTGAGCAATTAACGTTTAATGAGACTTGAGAAACAAAAATTTAAAAGCATAGGTTCTTCTAAATTAGGTGAACCATGTCTACAACAATGTGAAGAGACGTGATACTTATAAATGAAAACACTCCTAATAAAACTTTACCTACCCAAAACGCAACTTGAACAGGTGTAAACTATGTAATTACGTAAGAGATTTGAGCATTTTAAAACTGTTCGAAAGAACCGATTTGTGGAAATCACTCGGAGTTTCCTACTTCACTATCTGTTGAACTTAACACAGCGCCGACTCTGCTTTTTGCAGATGTAGAGGTAATGTAGAAAAGCTGGGTTAAGACATTTTGTTTGGTTGTAAATGTTGTGCTTTTGAGTGCTCCTACAAAGCCAAACATCATGTAACGTTAGCCTATTTTAAACCAGCACTGAAGAAGTAAGAGTAGAAAACAGAATGCGTGCGCGTTTCATTAGACTTTTACGTTTCCCGCCAAGTAGTTAAAAGGGGTCATATGATGCCATTTAAATTGTTCCTTTCTCTTTGGAGTGTTACAAGCTCTTGGTGCATAAAGAAGATCTGTAAAGTTGCAAGACTAAAGTCTCAAATCCAAAGAGATATTCTTTATAAAAGTTAAGAGTCAGCCACACCTACCTAAAATGGCTCTCCAACACGCCCCCACATATCTACCTCACTATGTAGGAAGGTGTGCATAACGCCACCCAAATGTTCACGCAAAGAAAGAAGGCGTAACTTTTATTCTCGCTGTAGTATTGTTGTTGCCGCCGCCATGTCGTGAAGGCGCTGTGTGTTTCGTTGTGAAAGCGAAACTACTTTGTTTGGCCTTCCAAAAATGGACACGACTAGAAATCAGTGGTTAAGTTGTATTTACAACACTGTTCCAGAACAGTTCAACCCAAATATTCAGATGTGTGCAGCACATTTTATGGACTACGGTTTCCTGATCCTGGTAGAGTAGACTACAATGCCGGCTGTTCTGACACACAGACTGTAAGTACGTTTTTTTATATTTAAAGAGTTTTTATATTTTTTATATTTAAAGCGAGTTTTTGGCCAGTGTAGAGTAGGGCTTGTTTGTAATTTCTCAGATCACAAATGCAGACATGGTTCTATGTTTACGCGGCGCGATGCAACGCAACGCGTAAAAAGACAGTATAAGTCATTATAATCCATATGTCCCCACTGGATGCAACAAATGCCTCGTTTAAAATGGGTTTTCATGTTTTTGAATCATCGCTCCGGCCTGACAGGGCATCATCACAATATGGTAAGGGGTGTAACATTTCCGTCTCACGCTTGAGGTATTCGGCCAATCATAATGCACTGGATAGCTGGCCAATCAGAGCACACCTCGCTTTTCAGACCGATGAGCTTTGTAAAAATCGACACGTTTCAGAAAGGCGGGGCATAGAGGAGAAACAATAATGTACAGTATGTGGAAAATAATGTGTTTTTTGAACCTTAAACCGCATAAACATTTCATTACACCAAATACACAATGTTCTTTTTAGCAACATCATATGACCCCTTTAATAAGCTCACCTTGGCACTGCCTTCTATCCAATCAACACCCTTGTTAATTATTAATTACGTAACGTTTCGACAAGCTATTAATCACACCTCAAACATGAGAATGATTAATTAATGTTAAAACAATGTTAAATATTTTTGTCACAATCAATCAGTATGTTGATAATGTATTTTTAAAAAGACTTAACTACTTAGTCGGTTTGAAGTCAATTAATTGGCAAAATATTGTTTAAATAGTTTTGGAATAACCTGCCAAAGCACAGAGCAAGTCTCAAACACAACATTCTAAAATTGTTGAACCAACGAATGAACTTGTAAAAACAAGGGCATAACCCTGATAATACATTGTTTTAATTGTACATGTTTTACAATGAATCTTTTCAATCAAAAAAATAAAATAAAATAATACAAGAGGAAAATTATCAATAGACCAAGTATTTCCTTTCATCTTCAGCGCTATGCTGTTTACAATGTATGATACAACAAAATGAACAAGAGTAGTTTATAGTTATTAAACTATAAATTTTATACAAAGTAAAGCAAAAAAAATAAAAATAGGCACAAAGGCACATTTACCTTTTTGATCTGCAATTTTGAAACCAAATACATACATTCATTCCTTGTTCCTGTACTACAAGGCCTTCAAATACAAATTAACTATCTCACTCTTCTTTGTCTCTCCTTAATCTTCATTTCAAGCTCCTTGTTTTGCTATTTTTTTTAAAAAAGACAAGACTTTCAAGGCAGTAAATGGTCAACGAAGCAGCATTCTCTTTCCTTCTAAAGAAATGTCCAGTTTCTCACAAAGAAAAGGAAATCTAGTAGCAATCGCCTCAAAAGTTGCCATGTTGCGAGATGATACATAAGGGTTAAACAGTGCATCTCATTTAACTAAAAACTCTTATTCAAAAACATGTCAATATAAGAGCTTTGGTAAAGCAAGGCTGATCTTCTCAAGACATTTATGCATGTCATTTCTCAAAACAGGCACAGCACATTTATATTCTTACGTAGACATTTTATCTTTGGCAATAATAATTATCTGAGAAAAGTGTAGCAAGTACTATAAAGCATACTGAATAAGAAAAGTAAATATAAATGGCCCCTTTTGAAAACGCTGCAATAATACGCCACACCATTTTGTTTAAGAAAAGTTCCAGTTATGACAGAATGAAACTTCTGTGACTTAAAGATGCACTTTAGGCATCCACTATGTACATGTTTTCATACAAATACTTAAAACAAAACATCTTAAACAGAACAATAACGTTTACCATGCCAAAGAACGGAATGAAATTGGATACATGCAATGTGAGGCTGTAAATTATTAAAGCAATTTGACCTTGAAACCAGAATGAAAGATATTTATATATATTGTGTGTATGAATATATACACACATAAATAAATAAATAGCAGTGCATGGACACTCCCCTTATTGTATTCAATGAGAAGTATATGCACACATGCGTTCTTTGGCGGTGTCAGATGCAAAAAAAGAAAAGAAAAGGTTGTTAGCGCAGCTGAAGTCCTAACAGACAACTTCAAGTAGTGATGTAGTGTTTTCGAATTGAACTGAACATTAGTCTGTGATAGTTGTGCTTTTCTGTACTCAACTGCCACGTCAATGTAATGTCCTTTCTTTAAAACATACTGCAGTTCAAGGTCTTTTCGGTCCATCTCAAATCCCGTTATACATGCACTCATTCAGCACTTTTCAGTATTGTCCGTACCCCATCCCGACCCCCAGCCCCAGGCCGAGGCTCTCTCGAAGTCCCCTGAGCTGCTCATCACCGAGCCTGATCTTGTCATCCAGTTGCCTCTGCTCTACCAGTAGGGCTGCTTTCATCTTCACAAAGTGACTGTAGTCACGCAACTGTTCTGGGGTCAGGCAACAGTCCAGCACCTTGCCAACTGCCTGCTCACGCCGGTCCACGTGCTCCTTGAGCTCCTGAGCCTCTCCCATCTGCGCCAGCAGCTGCTTCTTCTTTTCCAGAAGTTGTAGCTGACATGACAGAGAGAATAAGAATAAAATGGTAAGCAAATCAAACATGCAGAAGGATAAAAACTCAAGGTCTAATTTGTGTGTATAGTGCTTTTTACAATACACATTGTTTTAAAGCCGCTTTACAGGAAAAAAAATATGATGTCAATGTTTATGAAGCTATCTTCATGAATTATAGTAGAATTTTGCAGATTGGAGCTGGGCAACAATACAATTTACATTTTGCAAAGATACAAGCAATCACGCAGTTGAGATTTGCTATATATCATACTTTGTATTGCTATACGCAAGTATACACTAGCAGTAAACATTTGAAGTGGATCAAAACCTTTCATCAAAGTTGTCCTAAAACCTAAAAGCGTTCATGTCTTAGGACAACTTTGATGAAAGGTTTTGATCCACTTCAAATATTGACTAATAGACCTTAGTCAGGGTAACATCATGTGTCATTTTTGACAGGAAACGAGACCGTGAGGGACAGAAGTACAGTGTGTTCAATGGATTATACTGTTGTTTAACGACATACTGATTGTTCAACTGATGAAAAGAAAAACTTTCAGCAGACAGACAGACTCCTTAGGACAGTTTTGAAAGTTGTGAGGACCTT